TTAATACCGTATTACATTTAAAGTAACAAAATTCCATAAAAAATATAAATGAAGAGCTAAATATACATTATTGAAAACAACACATTTTCTACTGGACTCGTGCACAGCTACAAAAGCAATATCATACACGGCTAGCTCCTCGTCCAATATAGATCTGACAGCCGTGTACACGTCCGATAGAATTCAGTATTGTACATGTACACAACAGTGTATAATATCATTAACATACATATAGTTGTGACTATAAGTACTATGCTAAGGGACAAAAGTAAATGAAAGTCTGGTTATCTTGGAAAAAGACATTTTGGTAAACAGCCATATACACTATTCTTGCCATGTGTATTCTTTAAAGGCTTTTTCTAGTCATATATGATATTAAGCTTCACAGAAACGCAGTAGACAGTGCTTAGATGTTGCTCAATTGTCTACCTATACATTAAGTAAAATACAAATGAGTACTTTATAAGAAGGACATCTGAACATATTCACGGTGCCTTTACCACGTGACTTTTTGCGGTTAGCATAATACAAATAACAAGCAAAATTTTATTTCATTTTTGAATATTTCATTTTTTTTATAGAATTAAATGTAGAGCACGTTCATTCTAGTGATCATCACATTCATTGAATTTTTATTAAGAAAGTTATCATGGCCAAAAGTTCTGGACTGTTTTTTGTATTGGTTTTTGCCTCTTGCAGATCACAAAAGTCACGTGGTACAGGCACCATGATATTGAAAACATCCAATTATACAATCTGCCGATTACCTTGAAATATATAACTGCAGCATTTATACATGCGTTATATTTGGGTGCAGATAATTAAACAGTAAACATTGTTAATTATATTTGGAGACATATATCTTTCTAATCTATAATGCTGTATTAATTATATATTCAATATATATAACTGTAATATCCAATGATTTATATTTCACAAATTTTAAATAATACGAAGTGGAATTTTACTTAAATTAGCACAAATAAAAATAAACGCTTAAAGGCCAGACTTATACCGTTTCAAAAAAGATAATTTTACTTTCACGTGGAAGTTATAAAAGAATTTTTATAAATATGTGATAGATTTAGTCATTTTATGTATGTTTAACTATATAACTTACGTGAAATTACTGATATTGTCTTCATTTTGATAATTATAAGGGGGGTCAGTATACGTTTCCGTACATATATATTTGTAACCGGTAATACTTTATAAATATTTATTCAATATATATTATGGTAATATCCAATGATTATATTTCACAAATCTTAAATAATACGATGTGGAATTTTACTTACATTTGCACACATAAAAATAAATTCTTAAAATGCCGGGTTTTCATCGTTTCAATAAAGATAATTTTAGTTTCACGTGGGCGTTATAAATGAATTTTTTTTAATGATCTGATAGATTTAGTCATTTTGTTTAAATATATAACTTACTTGGAATTACCGATATTATCTTCATTTTGATAAATATTAGGGGGTCAGTATACGTTTCCGTACACTTCATCACCATCACATTTGATTTTGACCGCATTTTTGTAAGTTTCTATTTAAATGGATAGTCTTATATATGATGTGTGACACGAGAAAAGTCAAGTCATTTGTATTTGATAAAGGAAGCAATTAAATCAAGTTATGTTGTAAAGCATATATAATACGTATTTTTTTCGTACTCTAACGTACGTTTTTTTGTTATCTTATAATGCAAGATAAACTGCTTTTAACTTTGACAAAATGAAAAAATAAAACACTTACATCTTTTTAAATATGTATTTCTTTCCTCAAAGCATATTTACATACATACTATAAAACTATAAAAAAAAGTCATTTGATATGTATCATATAAGGGTGGTCGCTATACTTTTCAGTAGTATTTCTTATGCAAACTCTGTTACATATATCATAACATTTGTTTATACTCGTTAGCAATAATTCTCGGCTAATTGTAACTTGTAACACTTTACACCATACAGAATCTGATTTGACTATAAATTGTATGTTTACAATTTTATGTAAAATAAAATTTATGTTATGTTATACACTGAAAACCACTCGTCAAAAATGGTAATTTTCATCTTTAAAAAAGCGAGTTTTAGGTGCTAAATTAATCTTTAATTATTAAGCTTGCCTTACATATTGTATTATGTGTAAAAAACTAATTCATAGTCCATTTTTCATCGCCTCTTGCTTAAAATCTGGTAGTTTTGAGTAAAATTTTCAAATTATTTGCCATTTTGCAAGTATTGGCCTGTTTATTTCTTCATCCTTGCCATACATAAGTACCTAATTATAATGCAATATTGCAAACATAAAGCTACCAGTATTTAGGAAAAGGCTATATAATAGTGCATTTGTATCAGAGAAATTTTAGACCTGAATAAAGTAGCGATAAATGTAAAAAGAATTGTCATAAAAGTAGCAAAATATAAACAATGAAGTATTTGACTTCCATATAAAATACTAATTCACTATAACTGTATACTTATTGCCAAAAAAGCAACAGATGAAAAAAGATGGTTCAGGTAATTGGCCAATGAGTAACTTTTTGGACACTGTTAAGTACACCAAAATTAAAAAGCTTCTAAGAAATACAAATAAAAGTACAGTGGGCCTTTAAAATGTTATTTTTATAATATCGGGGGACCGAGACCCCACCATCCCCTCTGGACCCTCCGCTCTCCAGTGAGAAATTTACATCGTTATGAATGTGTGACTTCTTAAATAGTTATGATATTTTTGTGTACTGCCTGTACGGACGACTACTTACACATAGTCAAGTTTTTTTTAAATATCACATTTAGATAAGCTAAATAAATGGTTATTTCAACATAAAATCAGACACATTTTTTACTGAAATGTCTTATTAAGATTTCCCAGAATTTATACCTTTGTCTATACTAAGACTATTATATTTCTATAAAATGTGTAAATAAAAATAAACGGGAAAATGATGCAATTAGCTAAAAACAATGGAGTTAATGGAACGTGTACATTCTTTTGAAATAAATGGAAAATGTGAGAAAAAAATATTTTGAGCTTATTAATTGATACAAATTCTTTATTTGATGAAAGTTCTTTACTAACAATTCAAGATCATTTAAAATCACCATTGAGCCTACTATAATTCAGGGCACATATTTTGCCTCTATTTAATACCTTGATTTGTATGTACCATTGGCTTTGACTTCAATATATTATTTAAAACATCATGAAAATTCATTTTATTGATTGAATGTTTATGACTTCAAAGTGCGGTCGTTTATCTGATGTTAAAAATGCATAATTATGTACCTATGAAACGCACTTTATGGTCAAAATTGGACCCCAAAGTGCATGACGCACTCTGGGGCCCGACCCCAAAGTACGTAACGCACTTTTGGGTGCGACCCCAAAGTGCGTTGGACCCCAAATTGCGGTGTTACATGGCCTTGTCTTGTATGTACACAATTTATGTATTCATGTTAACTTTTAAACATTAATTTACTACAATCCTACGTGGTATGCAGAATAGACCAATTACAACGCACCTTGTTGTCATGCAAAATTAACATAAAACATTAATTTTTTAGACTTGTACATAGTGAATCACCCAAAATATCCCGTACAGCGTTAGTCACGCAGTAGAAATAATATTATGGTGGTAAATACACGTACTACAAAATCGATGATTAATTGCACATTACACGAAAATTATTACATAAATCTTCACTCTTTTTTATTTTTCTTAAATCTTAGTACATTTCTGTCATGTTTAATATTATTGACATGATTTGGCTCATATGGAGGCATACAGCTTTTAATATTATTGAATAAATTAAAAGTATAAAACATCTGGCAAAATGTATTTGTGACGAAATAGTAAGAGGAAACACATGCCAAAAGCTCTTCGACAAGTTTGGTAACATTCTTCATTTGATAATGCACGTGTTACTGATTTTTACATATTATGTCTGATTTGCTGTCAATGTCCTGCTGAACATATAATAGTCAATAGTCAAGGTTTTTAAAGTAAATCTTGATCTTTTATAAAGGTATTTAAACAACATAATAATACATTTCAATCTAACTTATCGTACCATTTTTCAACGTCTAGCTATATTTCAACGACTGATGAAACATGTACACATTGTAAAAGTTTTATTTTCGATTATTTTAAAGATTTATTATGATTTTATGTTTGAAAATATAGATATATATGGCTGTTATACAGTCTTTTTTTTTCAAATGTAAAATAAATATCTTCTGTTTACACACAGACAAGACATCAATCTTATGCGAGTACAAGTGCACTAAAACTAAACGCACTTACAAATTCATAGTAGCATAAAAAAGTGGCAGTTTAATTATTTCTATTAAGTGCATTAAGATCACGTAAACAGCTTTAAGTAGATTAATATGTTCAGATAAATGTTAAATGCAAAAAATAACGATTTTCAGGAATTGTCTTGAAAATTAATCACTGCTTTTCATGTACTTTTCACGCGTCTCATTATTCTCACAAATTCTCACAAAATTCAGTTCCTTTAACTTAAAATAATTTGAAAGCGCATGCGTGAAATATTTCTCTCTATGATATTATCTACTATAAAAATGTTATAAACCCGTAAGTCACAAAGTCAGTAATAGGCATGAGTTCCTTTTCTCAGTGATGTCGTAACTTCCTTTTCATGCAAAAATCTCTTTTTCTTTTAATATTCAGAATAAAAAGGGAGAATACTTGCTGTAAGTTGATACTGAACCAACGGAGTCAATGTCCTACCGATGCAAAATATATGTCACTTTGTTTGATACGTAAGCGTAACTTAACTTGGTATATATAAAATATATTTTCAATACAAGTCGGATACACTCGGATTAAGATCGATTCTGTTTGCATTATTGATAGGTCTATGTCAACTAAAATATACTTTTCCGATAAATGTGAATCAATAAATGTAAAAATATTTTTTTATATATTAGTGCATTTAAATATATGGTTATTGGATAAGAGGCGAAATCAATACTGAATAGGATGATGTTTACTTCTTTGATTTGCAGTGAATCGCACTGCGAATCACAGCCCAGTAATCTCATTTTGATAAAACATCTTTGGTGTCAGATGTACATAAACAAACATGAACTGGATGCCATTTTAAACTTTTAATAATGTGTTTTTATATTTTGGACTGTGCTTTTTAGTTAATGTAAATCTTAACCGGAAGTATATGAGCCATCGAATACCTTGCAATGGAAGGTGAGTCTTATGGTGTTTTTATCAAATACATGTTTTTCATATTCTGGACAGTGCTGATTTACAAACTTCGTAAAACGATATCGCACGGCATATATTTTGTCGTGACATCATATGAGTTATACAAGTACACGTAAACATACGTTAAATGTAAACACAACTGTATAAGGTTGTTTTCTTTTTTTTAATGTACGAGTACAAGTGTTTATTATTTGGGTATATCATAAAAATAATTTTATATTCATTTGGTTTTATTATTCAATTTATTGATATATTGAACTCGTTGGATATTATAATATCATGCTCACAACAGGCTCGCATAATCTTTTTTTCCCATTTAACTCGTTCAATAATTTCAGTATTGAACTAACACTCATTCAATGCGTTAAAGGTTTGTATTTTAGTATTTTCTGTTATTGGTATTTGCATTTCTTTTTAAATGATTAGAGCATCTTTATTGGTTTGGAACAAAACATCATTGAAAAGAACTTCCATTTTACATGTATTAGTTCATAGACACTTCTGGGTTAGCTTCAGGTAAAAAGTAGAAAAAATGAATAAATAGCTTTTAACAAAAACTATGGTGGCTTATTTGTGCCATTCACATTTCCGCCCCGCGAACCTGCCAGGCGAAAAGTCGAAAATTAACAAATTAAAATGGCTGGGTCGCGGAGCGAAATCACGCTTATTAGCGGGGACACGCGGCGAAGTTAAATGAATAAAACTTCGCCCCACGGGGCGCGGGGCGTAAAACGGCGGGGATGCAGATCGAAAACACGCTTATTAGCACCCCCGCTTATTAGCGTGTTTTTGGTCCACGTCCCGCCATTTTAACTTGTTAATTTTCGACTTTTCGCTTGGCGGGATCGCGGGGCGAAGACACGAATGACACAAATCAGCCACCATAAAAACCACAAAAGATTCATTTTTAACGCTATGAGGTCCAAAAAAAAAAAGATTATTTATATAATATATTTAAATAATTTTTCAAAATCTTAGAAAGTAAAGTTGGGTAGTTGTTTGATGACAGAAATATTTAAGCGAAGAAAAGTTTGTTGTCACTGATCCACTCAGAATTATTTACTTATTTGAGGTTATTTCAAGGGCAGTTAATTAAAGTCACGTCTACAATCATTTTTTATTTTTACATTTAGAGTATGTTTTTCTATTTATTGTTGATCGCAATACATAGTAACTCATATTTGTCGACCCCAGAGCCACACACTAAAGCAGACTAGTACTAGTATTTCAGTTCCTTCCTATCACTTTAACTGACGACTTGTATTATCTATTATCATTAAACCAATATTTCCTTTATACCAAAGGTGGATGTGATTCAGGTGGGGCTGTGGTGGAGGGGGAGGGGGTGGAGGAGGAGGAGGTGGTGGTGGCGGAGGATGTGGAGGAGGCGGGGGAGGCGGATTTTCATCAGGAGGCGGAGACTATTGTGGCGGTGGCGGGATGTCTTCATATGGTGGGGGCGGTTATAATTACGGAAACAATTCTGTCTGTCCGTCTTCCGGATATGCACCAGGCTATACGTCAGGATATACTTATGGACAGCCAAGATCTAACACAAGAGATGCATGGGCACACACAAGAGCCAATAACCAGCTAGGACGTCCAAATAACTCAGTAAGTAATTCGAGAGGGATTTGATTTATAAATATGGAACATTCAATTTCAATATTTCTGAAGAGATCAGTTCCTTTTATGTCAATATTTGTTAAGTTTTACTTGGGCAAATATATTTATCACCGCTTTGGATTCGCATCTCGCTAGCGACTTTGAATTCCTTCATGTGAGAAAGCTATCCTGCTGGGATACTTAACGTAGGCGGTTCTACCTAGGTTCCCTCGCAGGCCGAAAATATTGCACGGAGGGGCACCAAGTTCTTCCTCCGTCAGTAAAACTGGTAACTCGCCCTTTGACTAATGCAGAGTGTGTGTCACCTTAATAAAAACAACGAAAAATATTCAGCTTTTTCTTGTACGTCAATTAAGACATATCATAAAGTATAAGCACGTTTTGGTTACAATATGTAAGTTGTGATAGATTTGATACCTTAAACTTGGAGATATTAATGCCTGTATGTATGTTTATCTATTCAGGGGGCTTGTACCGGAGCCAAGCTGATAATAATTGTATTGGTCTGTGTCTGTGTCCTTCTAGTGATAGCCGCCGTCATATTCCTCTTTACTAATAAATAAAATAGATCTTGAACATTTTCGATGACATTTTGAAAAGATTTTCTCTTGACTGGAGCTACGGCAAACGCTCCGCTTTAAATACTTGTAACGCTATACAACAATTGTAAATGTTTACGTCATGTTAACGTTAACAAGGTTGTTATTATTATTAACCGTTGGAACATTTGTAAATCTGACATTGTGTTATGTGGAGAGACAAACAGGTGAGAAAAACTTCATTGACATGTGATATTATTTTGTGTAAATAAAAAGTATTTATTCATTATTTCTTTGTTAAAATGGGTATATTGTTACTTTATGATGTTGTTAGGTTCTTTGTAGATTATTCCACTTTTCAAAACACAAACTTTAGTGTATCAATAAAAATGTAGCCAAGGCATCTCACTGTTAGTTCTTTTATTGAGTGTGAGCATGGTTCGGAAAAAAATTGTGTGAAACGAAGGCGACAATAACGCCGGGAGAGGCGAAGGTAAACTTTTTGCATCGCCTTCTCTTTGATGTTCATGTAAACACGGATTTATATTAACATAAATCCGTGATGTAAATGACAACGACTTGTTTATCTTCAGAGCAAGATACTAAATGAATGCTGAAATAAATTCTGAGGCTAGAGCTATTGGACATATGAAAAATTTTGTTTTATCACATGACAGCCCTCGTTTCCGATACTATATAACCTTTTTATATTTTATATATATATTTACAGCGTACGAAAGGCATACTTTCTAAAACTGAAATGGATTAAGTTATGTGGTTAAAATAATCATATACTCATTGTTTGAAAATAAAATAAATTAATCTACTTTTTACATCTGTACCTATAAAACTAGTATACTTTGTATGATATAATGAAATAAACTGAAACAACAAATCTCAGCATTTTACGTTTGAATTGTACATCGTAAAAATTACCGTATTCGTTCCGGTTCCGGTTATTCAAACTATTATTTTCCGAAGATTGACGAAAATGGCCACTAAGTTGCGATTACAATTACCAATAGCCCTTGAAGTTGCGACTGATATTTTATCTTTCAAAGGCACAAAAATAGAAAACAGTTCGGATTTATTTTAACGATATTTTCCATTGAAGATACATTTTATATAGATAAATGGAATATTTTGTATGGAATATCATTAGTAAAGAAATTTTTTATGGTCTGAGTTTCAGAAATTATAATTTCAATATTTAATTCATGTCATGGTCTTTTATCAGCAATATACTTCAGATATTCATTTAATAAGCCGACTACAGTATCACTTTAGAAATAACTTTAGAATAACTTGAGAAAAGGCTCTCTAAGAAGGGAGACTATTCAAATTACCATTAGCACGCGCGTGGAAAATTGTCTCCCGTTGTTGTCCTAGTTTAGGCAGGCAGATGTACATGTAACAATCGACAAACACGTTAGGTTAAGGTACTTTGTATTTTTTATGCACCAGAAACAATAGCAACAAAAGTAAAAGGGATAACAGACTTTTGAAAACGCCACAGTGAGTTATTAAAGGTATAACCCTCCTAGTGCAGATCATTTTAGAAAGGACAAAAATGTTAATTTAATAATTATAATAATTGAGCCGCGTCACGACAAAACCAACATAATGGGTTTGCGACCAGCATGGATCCAGACCAGCCTGCGCATCCGCGCAGTCTGATCAGGATCCATGCTGTTCGCTTACAGACCCTTTAACAAGTAGAGAAACTGATAGCGAACAGCATGGATCCTGATCAGACTGCGCGGATGCGCAGGCTGGTCTGGATCCATGCTGGTCGCCAACCCATTATGTTGGTTTTGTCATGACGCGGCTCATTTATGTTTGTGAGGCTTATTATATATTACATAAAAAATATGCCGTCCAGGGCATTTTACGAATTGCAAATTACAGCTGCAGGCCCTCTTTCAAGCCTTTGCATGAAATAATCAAAATGGCGAAGGAACAACATAAAAATCTTTTAAGACGCTATTTACTGAATAAGATGTGTTGTACATACTGAATTTGTTACATTCGTATTTTTCGAGTTTTGAAGCTTTTACACTTGATTACACTGCTTAAGACAGAAACCCGTGAAGTACAAACCATGCCATAGTGACTTAATAATTAAGGTAGAAAACTCACAAGAATGCATAATGTCTTTACTACTGTATGCCTACATTTTTGTTAAGTATTAAGCTCCCTAACCTGAAATCCTGGGTCCATTCATGGTGATAGTTATCTAAAAGATTTTAGATTTACTTTTCAAATAAAGTTCTTTATTGGGGCATGATTGTAAATGTTTTTAATTAATTCGTGTTGAAATTGAATCAAAGCAAGCTTATGATAAAGATCGTCGCACTCGTGTTAAAATGTTTAAATCAACTGGAATTAACAAGGGCTGTTGAAGATGAGTCAAAGTTAGTTATTGCTTATAATTATTATTTATCTTGCACATCTCGGCAAAGTTGTCCGTTTTAATATAGCTCGGCCTTTTGAAAACATCTTTATGAAACCTGCCTTCAAAATGTTTCTCAAATATAAAAAGAATATTATACAAACCGTTGAAAATGACCCCATTTCTTTGAATTGTGGGGAGGGCTGTTGCTAATGTTGTTATAACTTGTAACCCGACCCATTTGCACTATATATCTACGGAAACGTATTCTGACCCCCTTATATATTTGATAAAGGAAGCAATTAATGTTGTAAATCATATATAATACGTTTTTTGTTTGTAATCAACCAGTTGCTAATAAAGATAATATATGCTGGTGATGGAGAGAAATCTTTCGGTTAGATTTCTGATACGACAAACGATCTGCCATATTTGCGCGCGTAATGGAGGAGTCACATTCCTTAATCTTTGAAATACAGAAAGCCTCATTCAAAGGGCTATAATCCATATATAACCTTTAAGAAAGCTTTAGATTGTGCAGGATTTTTCTGTCCTCATTATCAAATATAAATTGTAAAATATGTTACATTATATTTCATAATGATAGAGGTATGCGAATAAAAAACATCAAGTATATATAACTAATACATATAAATGAACTGAAAAATTTCACATAAATTTTAATCCAGCAATATAAACAGCAGATTGAGTTCAAGATCATATAGCAATGTTAATATTGGTCAGATATATATCGTGTGTGTGTTCAATAAATTGTCTTAAATTCTGTTTTTACCAAAATGCAGGGGCGGTAGATATAACGAGATAAATGTGTCAGATCAAGTTAGTTTGTAAAAATTGGTTAGGTATATAATATGTATTAAATAAATTGTCAAAAATCCTGTTTTAACTAACATGTAGGGGTGGTCGCTATACGTTTCCGTACTTAAGTAATGTTATAAACATATTTTTGTTGATTATCAATATATCAAAGTGAATTGGTCTATAATAGAATGTATGTAATACCCTAAATAATTTTAGTATCATACAGTACAGTAAACCATAACATAATTATGTATGGATGTAAGTTTGAGAAATATATGACATCTTTATATAGCAGATAATAAATTGTCCTAGAACAACATATTATAGTTCGTCATATACGTTGTTTTTTCTTTCAAGGTATATTTCATAAAAATATCTACAAGATACATTTCTTGATCTTATAAATATTTTAAATATCGATGGAATAATTCTCAAAAAAGTATACTCATCGAACCGATGATAATACTCGTAGAAGGGAGACAACAGTGTTGAAATTGTAAACTAACAAGTTGTAGTATTTCTCTCCCTTGTAGCAGTCTCATTCGGCTTACCATTGAAAATCGGCCCTGCCAACATTTCAACATTACGTTTTGATCCAAACAAATGGTTTAGTTTTAATTTAATTTATAATATTTTATTACAACTGTCATCGTTATCATTTACATAAATACAATGTAAGGTGAATACTACAATACTACAAAAACAAATATTCACAAACAGATATATTACGGAAACGTATAGCGACCCCCCTTATATGATACATATCAAATGACTTTTTTTTTTATAGTTTTATAGTATGTTTGTTATATGCAAATATGATTTGAGGGAAGAATTACATAATTAAAAAGATGTTAGTGTTTTATTTTTTCATTTTGTCAAAAATTTAAAAGTAGTTTATCTTGCATTACAAGATAAAAACGTACGATAGATTACAAAACAATACGTATTATATATGATTTACAATATAACTTGATTTAATTGTGTCCTTTATCAAATACAAATGTCTGTCACACATCTACGGAAGAGTATACTGACCCCCCTTATATATTTTATATGCCTGTTTAAAATACGACGATACATGATAACAACATAGTTCGTAATGGTTTTTAAAAGTTATATATATAGTTCATATTGATCTTTTCTGTTTTTTGGCTACTATACTGTTAAAGATACGTATTATAAACTTAAGTATTTCTTAAGACCTTACTTTTATTTATAAGAAATATGTTTTTTCTTCTTTTCATTGAAATTCTATCTCAAGAAGCAGACGTTTTCTTAGAGTAAACGCTTTTATTTATTTGAAAACAGTATGTTTTCGAGGCACTATCTGTTTGACAGATAAAGAGATGATATAATCATATATGATATATATATTCTTTACCTGTGGTTTTAGCTTAGATGATGTTTTATATGTTTCGTAAAATAAATTGATCGTTATGATAACACGCTTGCGGTACACGATTACCTTGCCAGTATTATTGATAATATAATTATAATTTAACTGTTATATATTATTATTATATAAATGGTATTGAAACTTTAAGTAACTTATACTATAAATATTTCTTACATCTTTTTCAATGATTATACATGTTTTTTTTATATCAGAACGAGAAAAGGGCCATTTAATATTATAATAATAGAAGCGACTTATTATATCAAGAGAATCTAATTTAATTTATAAATTCATACATCTTTTTTCATGAGATTCATATGATAAAGGCTAAAGTATACAACTACTGTATGTTAAGAAGAACATTCTGTTCTCTTAAATTTCCAAATATCATCGAAGAAATAATGCATATTTGTGATTTATTGTGTATAATAACAGATAAAACTCTGCAAGATCTATTTTAAATATCATATAACTTGTCAATTTTTTAAAGATATGTATTATACAAAGGTTTTTTTTTTCTTGAAGGCATAAAAAATAAAGGGGGGTCAGTATACTCTTCCGTGCACATCATATAAGACGAAATATCGCTTTAGCTTTGGGATCTATGTTCCTATAATAACATCAAGTGGTCGAATATAACTTTTTATTTAATATTTATCATGTACCATCCTCTGTACATACATTTAAAATGGTAAATTAGTTAAAAAATCTGTTTTAACTAACATATAGGGGTGGTCGCTATACGTTTCCGTATTACTTATAGAATCACGATATTTTTAAGTATTATTTAAAATAGTTGGCTATAATTTGTGTCACGGGTAAACAGAGGGTAAACCATTAAAATTTTGAATACTAGTTTATATAT